GCAGCCAGAAGTCGAATTACCACCCATATGGGATGCTGGCACTGCAGGTAGCAGCTTTCCCCGCCACGCCACAGGGCCGCCCCCAGCAGTTGCAGCATTTTAAATTCCCACAAGCGATGAATGGGGGTTCCCATCTCTCCACACCATTAACACTTGCTCTCGTCTGTCTCTGATCATATCCATCCTCGAGGTGTGAAATTGTATCTCACTGCGGTTTTGTTTCCCGTCTTTCCTGCACTTACTTGGGGATTTGGGTTACCTACCCCCTCACTATTTAGTTGAGTTCTTTGCATTCCGGAAACTCGTTCAAGGATAGCTAACTGACAAATGTTTCCTAATTCTGTGGATTGTCTTTTCACTTTCTGGAGGGTACCCTTTGAGGCACAAGTTTTTAATTTTATGAGATCCAATTTATCAATTTTATTGTTGTTGCTTATGCTTTTGGTGTCCTGTCTAACCAAACATTGCTTAACCCAGTGTCACAGATTTACCTCTATGTCTTCCCTTAGGAGTGCTGCAGTTTGGGCCAGCGCCATGGCTCACTTGGTTAATCCTCCGCCTGCGGCACTGGCATCCCATATGGGTGCTAGGTTCTAGTCCCCGTTGCCCCTCTTCCAGTCCAGCTCTCTGCTGTGGCCCGGGAGTGCAGTGGAGGATGGCCCAAGTACTTGGGTCCCTGCACCCGCATGGGAGACCAGGAGGAAGCACCTGGCTCCTGGCTTTGGATCGGCATAGCTCCGGCTGTGGTGGCCATTTGGGGGGGTGAACCAATGGAAGGAAGACCTTTCTCTCTGTCTCTCTCTCTCATTGTCTAACTCTGCCTGTCAAATAAAAAAAAAAGTGTTGCAGTTTTAGCCCTTACATGCATTTTTAAAAAATATGTATTTATCCACTTGAAAGGCAGAGTGAGAGAGAGAGAGAATCTCCCATCTGCAGTCCACTCTTCAAATGGCCGGAACTAGGCTGGTCCAAAGCTAGGATCCAGGAGCTTCTTCTTAGTGGCAGGGGCCCGAGCACTGGGGCATCCTCCGCTGCTTTCCCAGGTGCATTAGCAGGGAGCTACATCGGAAGTGCAGCAGCCGGGACTTCAACCTGTGCCCATATGGGATGCCAGTGCTATCCCCACACGGATATTTTTAAAAACTAAGTCCTGCACACCCAGCTGTGGGAGCACAAGAAGCCAAGGTATGGTTAGGATTTTTTAAAATTATTTATTTATTTATCTGGAAGGCAAAGTTAGAGAGAGAAAGAGAGAGAAAAACTTCCATCTACTGGTTCAACCCCAAATGCCTGCCACAGCCAGGGCCAAGCCAAAACAGGAGCCAGGAACTCCATCCGGGTCTCCAGCACCCGAGCCATCAGTTGCTGACGCCCAGGGGTGCGCCTGGACAGGAAGCAGCAGGGAGTCAAACCAGGGACTCGGATATGGGTCGTGGGCAGCCCCAGAGACGACTTAGGCCCCTGGGCCAAACCCCTGCCCCAGGCTGCGGTAATTTTAACCCATCAACCGGATTTTTAAAGGGTTCAAGGTTGTCCCAACATGGTTGTGCATGGTCAAAGACTAAAAGCTGCTACGAAACACAAAAACCCCACAACGTTCATGGCTCGGGGAGATGAGGGACAAGACAGCCTCTGAGCTGAGCCTGAGGCCCAGAAGGCAGGTGCGGGAGAAGCCTAGGTCACGGGCAAGGTCACAGGGAAGCGTCCGGAGCTGCGGGGAGGGGTCTGGAGTGGAGTGGAGAGTGGAGGGGCGCGATGAGAGTGCGTGCGGAGCCCGCCCAGCGCGCCGGGTCCTCGTGCACGCTCCGGGTCGGATTCGCGGTGTGGAGGAGCCGTGCGGCCGGGGCGGGATCGAGGGGGGCCCCAGAGCGGGAGCCGCCCGTGGAGAGGCCACGCGACCCACGGCGCGCGGGACGCGGGGTTGGAAGCTGCAGCCGGTCCAGGGCTCGCGGGCAAGGCAGGGCCGGAGCGCGCGCCCAGCGCGGGGTCCTTCGCGCAAAGCCCCGGGCACGTGCGCACGGCCAAGGCCGGGCCCGGGGCGGCCCGCGGAGCCCCGGAACCTTCCGCCGCCGCCGCCCGCGTTCGCCGCGGGACCCACCGGGGGAACCCGTGCGCTGTTGCTAAGGGGCGGCCCCGGAAGTGACGCGCCCGGGGTTTGTTGACAGCGGAGGCGGCGGCGGCTGCAGGCTGCGAGCCGTAGGAGCCGGATCGGGGGAGGGGCCGGGCCCGGGAGCCAGCACCCGGTGGCCCTCAGCCCGACGGGCAAGGTAACGGCCACGGGGTCGCCGCCGTGACCCCCTCCCGCCTGGGGCTCCAGCCCCCGGGATCCCAGGCTCCGCCCCGCCGACCCCAGTGCTAACCCGGACCCCGGCCGTAGCCTGACGAGATCCCCGAGCTGAGACGCTCTGGCCCCGGGCTCTCCCGGGCCCCCTCCTGCGCCCCTCCTCGCCCAGGAAGCATCTCGGCCGCTTCGCGACGCTGAGGGCAGGCCCCATCCCAGGGTAGGTCCAGGACCCCGGCCAAGGATGTTTTAACGTGCGTCCGCCTCCTCCATCTGTGTCCCCGGCCTAAGCATCGCCGCTCAGCCCCGTGCAAGGGTCGCTCTCGGCCAGCGGTGGGAGGGCTCCCTCCTGCACCCGAAAGCAGATGCCGCCCCGTCGGACGCCCCCTGCAAGGTGGGGGATCCGTGTGGGTGACAGGGCCGCGCGTCCGCCCCTCCTACCTGTTGGGGATGCTTACGCTCCCCCACCCCCTGAGCCTCCGGGACGCCTGGAGCTCTGGATCAGCTCCCAAAAGGGATGGCACGGTGCATGGGTGGAGTTGCAACCTGAGGCCAGGTTAGCAGAAAGTGAAACTGCTGGCAGCTACAGGTCCCTGGGTGCAGCTTGGCTCGCTGTCTCTGGAGGAGCCCCAGACTGCCTGTGAGTGCGTTCCGCTCGGAAAGGGAGGGCGGGGGGCCTGATGTCCCGGGGGGACCGCCCCCTGGAGGAGCGGGCCCACCGACTCTGTCTTCGGGGTTCAGACAAGGCGCAAGAGGGCTGCCGTGGGTTCAGGGCTTCTCAGCCCGGGTTCTTTTGTTCATTCAGCAAATAACAGACCATCAGAAAGTGGATCGGGAAGGACCGCGGGAGGGCCAGGGGTGGGGAGGCTGGCCAGGGAGGGCCTCCGGTGAGGTGGTGTTTGAGCGGAAAGGACAGGAGGAGGGCGCCGCACAGGTCTGGTGGCACGGGCATTCCAGCGGGCGCGGGGGCGGGAGGCCAGGTCAGCTGGAGCCAGGTGAGGGAGGGCAGGAGCGGTGAACCCAGGGCCTGGGCGACGGTGGGGAGGGAGTGGGGGGCAGTCCACGGGGCGCGGGTCACGGGCCTCCAGTGGGCACCCGGTCAGAGCCGGGCTCGCTGAAGTGTCTGGTGGCCGGAGAAAATGCGGATCTGTTTCAGATGACAAAAGGCCATTGTTCCCCGGCCCTGTGTGTTAAGTACCCGTCTTCCACCACCTCCGGGATGGCCGCGGATGGGATAAATACAAAAAAAAGAAAGGGGGGGGTGGCATCCATGGAACGCCACCGGCTCCGGGCTGTGCGAGTGCGAGTGGGGCACCTGCTCCCACGTCGGGCTTCCCATCTGTGGAAAGAACTGTTGGGTTGAAGTCGATGGTGTGCTCAGTGCGGTGCTTGGGTCATACTTGCACACGCGTGTGAGCCTGTCTTTAGCACCTGCTGGTGGTGTCGGCCACCCCAGAAGCCTCTCTGCGTGGTGGAATTTGCAGGAATATTGGGGGAGAGAAGGTGGGCCTCTCCTGGCACCCCGCAGTGACACCAGTGTCGTGAGCCTGGGTTCCTTGACAGCACTGGAAGATTAGGTTTCTGTTTGTCTTTTAAAGAGCCCAACAAATCCCCATCTGGCTGTATAACCTAGGTGAAACGGGAGTGTCGGAATGAGTGCAGCCCGGAGACGGGTGGGGGAGGGCGGTGTCTGGGCCTAGGTGTGGGGTGGTGCGTGTGGTTAATCAGCGGGTGGAGACTGTTGGTCTGCAAGTGCCGGGCAGAGGCTCACCCACTGCGCCTGCCTCCCAGGGAGCAGAGCCACAGTGAATCTCCTCACCTGCCAAGCCCAGGCTGCATCGGCAGGCCTGGGTCATAGGCTGAGCAGGGCGACCGGGTCAGAGGAGGCGGAAGTGGAAGGCCAGAGCACCTGAAGCAGGCAGCCTGCATCCTGGAACAGGCTGTGGTGGCTGGCGCTGGGCTAGCACCCTGGAGACTTGGGTTCAAGCCCGGGCACCGCAGCTGCCTTGCTGTGTGAACGTGGGCCGGCCCACCCTGCTCTGGGTCTCCCTGGAAAGAACGTCAGCCTCTTCCCACTAACTGTGAAGGCTGCTGGGAGGCTGAAGGAGACGCAGGTTGTGAAAGACTTGGGTGCGCCATAAAGCTGACAGCTCTGGTCTTGGCACCCGCGGGCTCTGCAGGTACATCTGGGCGCCCACGGGCAGAGGGCTGCAGGTGGCCCCGAGGTGTCTTGGTTGGCTTCAGGACTTCAGCTGTTCTTTTTCTAAAAAAAAAAAAAAAAAAAAAAAAAAAAAAAATCTAATATCTTCTAATTGTATTTTAAAGTTTGTTTATTTGAAAGGCAGTGTGACAGAGAGAGAGAGAAAATCTTCCATCTGCTTGGTTCACTCCCCAAATGCTCACAAGAGCTAGGGCTGGGCCAGGCCAAAGCCAGGAGCCGGGAAATCTATGCGGGTCTCCCGCGAGAGTCTCAGGAAGCCAAGAACTGGAGCCATCGTTTGCTGCCTTCCAGGGTGCACAGCGGTGGGAAGCCGAGGGGGACTTGATCCCAGGCACGCTGATCTAGGATACACAGGGGTCCCGGGCAGCAACTTACCCCGCCGTGCCCCAGCACCCAACCTCCTTGCTGTACTTGACTCCTGGAATGGGAGTTCAGAGACCCCTGTGAGCTCTCTGCTTGGCGACCGATGTCTTCCATCTGGTTCGATCACGGAAGCTGGTTTGCCGGCTTCCAGACTTAACAGAAGGGTCAGCGGATTCTGAGCGTCATTCTGAGAAAGGTCACTGTGGGAACTGGTGCGTAGCACCAGTGTTCCATAGCTTCTGTCCGGTCACCCCGTGAGGCAGGTGCCGCTCGCACACAGCGCGTTGGTGGGGAAGAGGTTGGAGGTCGCGGGCTGGGGACCTCCCTCCCTCACAACCAGCATTCACACTCTCACTGCGTGAGGCAGGCCCCAGGGCCACAGGGAGCCCCTGCCTTCAGGAAGCTGCCAGTCCTATGGCAACAGGGGGAAGGCGCAGCGTTGCACAATGGGTCAAGCCACTGCCTGCGACGCCAGCATCCCACATGGCGCTGTTTGAGTCCCGGCTGCTCCACTTCCAGCGCAGCTCCGTGCTAGCGCACTGGGAAAGCAGCGGAGGGTGGCCTGAGCGCCTGGGCCCCTGCATCCACGTAGGAGACCTGGGTGGGTCAGCCCCAACCTTTGTGGCCATCTGGGGAGGTGAACCAGCAGGCGAAGATTTCTCTCTCTGTCTTTCCCTACCCTCTCTGTAACTCTGCCTTCCAAAATAACTTCATGAAGAAATGACATATGCCATGGACTGAGGGCAGCAGTGCCGGATCTGTGCACTGGGACGCTCAGGGTCATGAGGAAGCAGAGGCTCGGGGCAGGGGGCTGTCCATAGCACAGGTGGGAGCCTGGGCCCTGGAGTCCAGCACTGGCCAGGGGACCTCGTGCAAGCCCTTGCATGACGGAACCAGTCTCTTCATCTGGGACTCAAAACTGTGTGTCCCACAGAGGTTGGTGGCTCCAACGAGAGTGCGCATGACAAGCTCACAACAGGGCTCTGGAGCAGATGAGTCCTGTACGCACACTGGGGTGCACCCGGGCCCAGTCCCCAGACTCCTCAGCCGCGCAGTCTCAGCTGCCTCGTGTGCCAGTTGTAGATCGTGTGCTTTTTAAAGGAGTCAGTTATTTCTTTGAAAGGCAGAGTTACAAAGAGAGACAGGGAGAGAGAGATCTTCCATCAGCTGGCTCACTCCTAAAATGGTTGCAATTTCCAGGGCTGGCCCAGGCCAAAGTCAGGAGCCTGGAACTCCATCCGGGTCTCCCACGTGGGTGCGGGGGCCACCTTCTGCTGCTTTCCCAGGCGCCTTAGCAGAGAAGTGGATCAGAAGTTAGCAGCTGGGACTCGAACCGGCACTCATATGGGATGCCGACGCCACAGGGGGCAGCTCAACCCACTGCACCACAATGCTGGTCCCTAAATCGTAGGGTTTTTTTGTTATTAAGATTACTTATTTATTTATTTGAAAGTCAGTTACACAGAGAAAGAAGGAGTGGCAGAAAGAGAGCGAGGTCTTCCATCTGCTGGTTCACTCCCCAGATGGTCGCAAAGGCTGGAGCTGAGCCAATCTGAAGCCAGAAGCCAGGAGCTTCTTCAGGGTCCCACGCGGGTGGACTTGGGCCATCTTCTACTGCTTTCCCAGGCCATAGCAGAGAGCTGGATCGGAAAGCTGGGACTCGAACTGGTGCCCATATGGGATGCTGGCACTGTAGGCGGCGGCTTTACCCGCTGTGCCACAGCACCAGCCCCCTAAATTGTAGATTATAATAACTGGTGTCTCGCACGGGTGTTGAGGGAATTCACTGCATTGTTGGTATTTGCTTGGTGCTCACTGTGGTAATGGTCACAGACAAGTTTGGTTGTAAGAAGAGAACCCAGGCAGTCTGGTTCCTGGCCTACCACAGCGTCCCCAAGGCCTCCGCCCCCAGGTGGCACCAGCAGCCACCTGGTGCCAATGTGGCCGTCTGCCCCCTCGCTCTCTGCGTCTTCCCAGAAATCTGCCCTGCAGACTTCGAAAGCCAGGTGTCCTCTGACCCTCCCCTGCACCCTTGCCCCTGGAGTCCCAGGGCACTTGCCCCGACCTGCCTCGCGGGAGCCTCCCATCCCCGACCTCTGGCCCGTGACCCGCGCCCTCCTGGAGAGCCGCCAGCATTAGCTCGGGATTTCCCCCAGCTCCTGGTTAAAGTTTCACAGGGCAGGTGCTGTGCCAAGACACAGCACTTCTGGCTCCCCGAGCCTGTCTGTCCCCTGGGTGTCCAGACACTGGCTGGGTCCCCGGCTGCCTCCTCTGGACCTCAGTTCCCTCCACACCGTGGGGTGGATGCAAGGACCAGGGATACAGGGTTTAGGGAGGCTTGCGTCCCTTGCTCGACAGCTTTCCCGTCTCAGGCACACTTAGCTGTGTGGCCTCAGTGTTTTCACCAGAAAATGGGCTAACAGCTCACCTTGCAGCACTCCAGGGAGGTGCTTCTGGTGACAGCAAGCCTTAGGCTGTGTGAACAGGCAGACCCAGGGCTGTCGTCCCAGGGCTGAGGGCGGAGAGGGCTGAATGAGCCATGACGGTGCCCAGCCAGCTGGCAGTGCAGGCTCCTAGGAGGTGCAGCTCTGTTGGGTAAGCGAGGAGCAGCCAGCATGGAGGCGGCAGTGGCTGCT